GGAAATTTCACTACTTGCATATATACGTATATAGAAAAAGGAAACGAAAGTACATCATAGAAAAAATAAAGAGTCGTACCATGCCAGGGGTGTAGCGATCATTGATGTAACGAGAGATCTTTTTGTTTCATCGAACGGGGGAAGTTGAATTTTTAGGGGCATGTTACCAACGATTCTCGATCGATGGTCGATGATCAACAATGGTGAATGGCGTTTCGTACCGTGCTCGCTGTGATTGAAAATATCCACGTGCATACTCCATGGATAACGCAATTGCGATTGCATAAAGTATTCTCGTGGTTGGTGATCGCAAATAAAACGAGAGGAGAACGAAGCGTCGCGGTGCGATCGATTTTTATGCGAAAAGCTAGCGGCGCAAACAGTGCCTCTACCACGCCAATCGAGAGTAGCATTCGGGCGGATTTTTGCCTGGAAACGATAAACCAAAATGCTTCGGCTCGGAAGGAACTGCGGGAGATAGAATTCGACACATGATACGAACACGTTCGCTACTCGCAATTCAGATCAACGCAAAACGCAAACGCGTGAGACGTGTGTACAACTAGCACGTGCAATTAGCAATTTAACCGCGTAGTCGGAACAATACTTCACCGACATTTCAACGATATTGTCCCGAGGAAAGGCAAATATCCAATTGTTAATCTAAACGAAAATTGGCGCAGCACGTTGGACGTTACGTACACAGGAGTAATAAGGTAACGATAATTACAAAGTTCCCCCGAGTTTTAAGTGCAACTTCACGGATCTCTAACGTTGTTTAAACATTTGCCAAACTAATTTACCAATTAGCCACATCCTGTAACATTCGCGGTCCTACATCCGCGGCACGGTGCTCATATTATAGACTCGCAATCAGAGGAACAAAGAACCGAACGAAAACTGATAATCGACAAACGCGAAATCATAGATGTTCCAATTGCGGTCGTGCGTGCTGCGTGCTGCGTTCGCGTCGAAACGGAACAACGACGACGATTTAATCGCGAGCAACGCGCAGAACGTATCGACGAGTGATGGATGATTCGGTCATGTTCGCGCGCCGCCATGAAGAAGGAAAATGAAATCAGCGCAAGCGAGACGGGCTCGAATGTAACAATTGATCGGGGACGTTCCTCTCGTATTAGAGAGAGAGAGAGAGAGAGAGAGAGAGAGAGAGAGAGAGAGA